TTACAAACTTTGAAAGTCTCAATACTAGAGTTAATGCTCCAAATTAATCTACCAGGAATATCTATCGACAGTTCTCAGACCACATTCAAAATGAATACCATTAAAACATTTGATTTGTATTTGGTATTAAATGCCTCAAAATCACAATAAAAAACAACACAAAACAAAGACTAGAAACGAAAATTATTGAATGCATAACATACAAACATATATGTAGGAACATAAAAATGTAAACTAAGACTAGTATATGGCTTTGTACTTGGGAAACGGGAGGGAAAGTTAGCACCAGTTAGCACACATCTTTGAATGATGTCCATTATGCAGGCAACATTAATATACATTACGTGAATAATGTAAACCATGTCCACCTGTAAACATATACCCCAACACAATTAGCAGTAGGAGTCAGTATGCAATAAATACAATGCCAATGAATGAAACAATTACAGTATTGCAGTTTTGTTGGATAATGTACTCATATTGTATAAAGTTCCAGATACTAAATCAGGCTTGTCCTCTGTATCATTCAATATCTCCAATGACCGCATTCATAAAACAATATTGTGATCATTGAAAAACTATGTGTTTTTTTTAACCACATACATATTCCATCTAAACACAGTATGAATCATTTAGCTGATCAGTCAAGTAAATGTTTCCAACATGTGGACTGGTAAAATCTGAACCACGACAAGCAGAATAAATTTATTGAAAACATGCAGGGACTTTTTAAGTCTACAGAGTGCAGTAGTTTCAAACTAGTACCATAGGATGCTTTGTACCTTTGGTATCTCTATTAGGGACCATGGATGACACTCTGAGGGTACAATCCAGGAAATTCAATTTCCCATATAATCAACACTAAACTTAAGTTTTAATTAAATTGATGGTCTTTTTGACAGCGATGAAATTCTTTAGGATTCCGCACGATGCAAATACCACATGTGCTATACTCGCAGTATGAGATAAGATTTTGGTCAAAATGAGAAACTTTAGTACAAATGTATCTAACAAAGGCAATTTTTGGTTCAAGTGTGCTTCCAACAGAACAAACTGTATTGTGGAGGTCTTTGAAAGGGGATAGGATTCTTTTTAATGTCAAAGTGCAATGCAGACGCCATATCTAAGTTTGGGACTTCATGACAGGGGTGTACAGCCATCTCTACCAAATAGCAATTTAATGCGTTATCCTTGTGTCAACCAGGGCCAGGCAAACAAGCACCTGCGTACCTTGACTAATGCTATGTTCACACAGCAGCATTCTGTCAGAGCCGAACTACTGCTTCTCCCACTGATTAACAGGAGATTATCTCCAATGCGTTCATACAGTCGGGAGCCGAACGAGAGCCAAGATCTGCCAGAGTTCGATTCAGTTCGATCAGAGCCAAGCGAAACAGTGCCCAGTGTACAAGTACCTCGAATAAACAGGAAACACGGCAGCTGAAATGAGTTACAACCTATCATTTATTGTCATGCAAAATTACCATTTTGTAATTATTCAACTGTTAATGATATCTAAACTACTAGTATTATGAACAATCACAGGGCCTCTATCCTCTCTATATATCATAGATGGACTGTGGAAGAATCTAAACCTACTAGATCGCTTCTACGATTTTTTCTTTGGTGTCTTTAAAAAGTTCCTGTTCAGTCGTTCTTTCAAGTTCTTGTTGCATAATGTTGTATGCCATTTATCCCGCTGAGCTATCAATCTATCGCAGTGGCAGTAATTCTTTGCTCCGCCAAGTGTAAATTAGGGCGCATACCTCCTCTTTAAGCCAGAAATTGCGTGAAATTACGAAATGTCGTCTCCGCCATAATTGAAATGATAGGTTACTTGGAGACTATTGAGGGCATGATTTCAGTTCCGATAGTTGGGCCCCGATGCGTTCACACGATCGGAGCCATGTCAGGACTCGACCCTATCGGAGTTCAACCCCCGAGGGTTTAGTGGAGCCTAACTTGGCTCGAGCTGAACACGTTCACACGGCCATTTTTGCTGGCTCGAGCTGTAGGGCTCCGATAAAATGCTGTCGTGTGAACGTAGCATAAGATTCCACCAACGTCACTTTCGTTAGTTAGTGAATGAATGAATGAACGAACGAATTTCTGCCAGTCGATTTAGCCTTCCCATTTAGTCTGTGGCTCACTCACCCAGGATAGGGGTCAACCCTTACTGGTGTTTAGCCGAAGATAGGATTTGAACTTGGGTCTACTGATCACTAGTCTGATTGCAACAACAACGATGTTGCAGGTTTGGAATAGATTCTTGGCCACGAGGTTATTCAGAAGCAGATGCCCATCCGTCCATACACATACACACAATAAATCCACAAGTTTTACTCTATGGTAGGCAATATGTAATATCCATAGAAAATACAGTTGTTATTTTAATTACATCAAAATTTGATGGTTTATTTCTTTGCAGCTTCATCTTCTTTAGCAAATGTTTTCAAAAGTTCCTGTCTCTTCAGAGCTTGACGTTCTTCACGACGTCTACGTGCTTCTTTGGTCTTCACACGACGGGCTTCCGCTTGGTCACTGTCAACAAATAATATAGTAATATTAGGAGGGATACATTTAGAAATTCCTCACATGTTCATGACTAAATTTCTGATTTTAATAGATTCACAGCTTCTTGAGTGTAGAAAATGTTTGAGTCTGCAGTAATGAACCAATTTAACAACCTAACTCTTAAACCAATATGATTGCAAGTACTGAATACTCAGTTTAGTTCATGTGAACCTTAAAATCATGTAATCCATAATTCCATACATGGAAATGTGTTTTTATAACAATTTGAGCTGAACAAAGGAAGATCAGAATAAAATAGATGAAAACAATTAGAAAAGGAATCTTACGAGAGCTGCTTGCTTCTGGCTTTCTCTGCCTTCTTTTTGTGAATATATTCCATCAATACACGTTTGTTTTTGAACACGTTACCCTTGGCTTTCATGTACAATGCATGGTAACTGAAATAAAATGTACAATTAGACAATATTTGAAGTATTGCTGCTAATTCAGAATATCAATTTTTCGATAGTAATCCTAAGACGAATTGGCAGCAGTAAAATCTGTATTAGAAGCTGCACCCATTTATTTTGAAAAATTGAGACCCAAAAATTCATTATTTCTCATATGTGTAGATGCTCTAATAAAAGCCGCATCTCCTCTGTAGCATTGCACCATTTTATTAGAAGCCACGGCTTCTAATACAGATTTTATAATAATTATATTAATAATCATTCTCCTAATACAGATTTTACAGTATTAATGATGCAGTTCTGCTTAGGTAACTTGTAACCAAGCAATGGGCCTTATGCAATGACCCCTAAAGGTCGCACATTCTGGTAATATACATCAATTTTAAATATGTTCAACTGTTTAACTGCTTACATTTTTGCGAGATAATTAAATTTGAATTGATAGTGAATTTGTGTCCCAGAAAGTACCAGGATGTGCGACCATTTGGAGGTCTTGCATATGGCCTATATACCGGTACTTACAGATGACGATCAATTTTTTTGGCCTCCCTGTATTTTCTGAGTAACCTCCTCAAGACTCGCATGCGTCGAATCCACACAATTTTTTCAGGCATACGAGCATTAGCAGTACCCTTTCTTTTACCTGTAGTAGAATATATAGACAGTTACACGAGTTTCAGCAAACTTATTGTATTTGCATAGTGAAAAGTTTTCTTCCACCTGAGTTTTGCAGATTGTATCAATTTATTTTTCAGTTCTCAAGAAAAGAAAATAGCATAGTCAAGATTTGTTTCGATGGAAGCCAATTTTTTTTCAATTTAGAGTTCAACCTAAAAATTCATTTAGCCAAAATTTTTACTGCCCTCCTATGCTGGTTATCTCTAGAGGATAACTATTGAAACTGTTTAGTAGCGACTAGCACTGAACCTAATTCAACATAGCTTGGGCAGATTGTAGTGGCTATGAGCAAGTCAGTTTTCATAATCCATGCCATGAATCAGGTGCGCCAATCATATGAAACACAGCTGATCAATACCTGCAGCATAGTAATGTATATCAACTTACCGTAACCCATATGACGACCCTTCCTTCTAGCAATAGCTGCCTTTCGCACACGGGCCCGTGAATGGACTGCAACAGGTTTACGAATAATCAGACCATCTTTTATAAGTTTGCGAACATTTTGTCCTACAAGGAATTAATCATTAGTTATCAGAGGTCAGAGCAGAGGATAATGCAGATGGCCATTCCAGAGGAAAAAACTCACTTCCTCAAAATGTGTGGCAAATAGGTTTGTCTGCAAAATTCAAATAAAACTGTTATTTAGTGTTGATAATACTTACGCGAGTTAGCATTGGCTATTTCATTGATTTCATTAGGATCCAGCCACACTTTATTTTTTCCACATTTTAAAACGCTGGAAGCTAAACGCTTCTGAAGCCTCAGGGTACTGTGAATAAACATGACAATCAAGTCAATCATGTGATTTAAAGCATTTAGTTTTATGTTTCATGTTTCTACAGTTAGATATTTCTCGATTAGAATACAGCTGGGTAAGAGTACAAAGCTTGATTGATCCCGCACAGTACAGATTCCAGACTACTGGAATGTTTTTCACATATTTACTAGGACAGTAGAGAGCCAAAACATAATTCAACATTTTGGGGAAACGAGCAGCTGACTGAGTGTACATCATTGCCAGAATTTGTTTGTTGGTCATTTTCAACAATTTAATTTGTCAAATGATAAATGCAACATGCTATGACATGCAAGAGGTAAATTATATAATATTATTACATGCAGTACCAAACAAAGAACTGAAAATGAAGTCTGAACTAGGTCGTCTGTTGTAAATGAACGTTGATCTCGGCGAACATCTCATGAAATTACTGACAATACTAACATACGTAGTGTAATGTCCCGGGGTCGATATGGCAATATGTAGCAGTTACTGCGTTTTATGGTACCGTTTAATGTAACGAAAGAAAATATTACGGCTTCGAGGGTTCCGGTTCCAGACACATGGTAGTCGCCATGTTGGTTTATTTCAACATCAACACACGCATAAGGTCAGACACAGGATAAATTTATTGTTTTCCATTGAAGTCTGGAAGAACTACGTGGTTTCATTTGATCAAACGAATAATAAGAAGCCTAAAATTTTCATTGTTAAGGACTTTTTTGCTCTTTAGTTGTCATAAAAAATACATTTTACCACAGCATTTACCTCATGACTGGTGCCTCAACCAAGAGTCGAGAAAAAGAGGTCAGAGGTTGCCTCGTCGCTTCACATATTCCGCCATCGTTTTCAATCGATTTGAATTTATTAAATACTGCATTGTTTCTTACTATTTCGCACCATTTAAATATTTAAATAAAAACAAAGATATGTAAAACTATATATACTTGTTAAGAGTGTTAAAATTGAATATTTTATTGATATTTTAAAGCGGAAGGATTTTTTTCATGTGAGTGAATAAATTCAATATTCGTTAGAGGGGTGTCAATAGGGATATCCCAATTACACAACTCGTTGAAATAACTCTCGCCTAGAGAGGGCGCTGTTATGATTTGTTAGGCTCATTGACATTGAGTGAAATATCTCAATAACATTGACAACCAGCTGATATTACGGCATTTACGTAGCACGTTTCAAAAGATTAAACAAAATACTGAAAATCACCTTAACAAATATTGTAAGACGATCCTGGGTGACAAAATATCTTCTTTTTTTTTTCAAAGTAGGTGTTGTGAAAATATGGAGACGTTGTTCTGTATTTAGGTATATTTTCTTTCCCGGTATTGAAGTTTTGAGACGAATCTACTTTGTTTCAGCAGAGTCGGCATATTGACATGCACATTTCAATGGATTTAAAAAAAAATGTTGTAAACGATTTAAACATAGACTTTTTTTCAATAAAATAAAATGTGTGCGTGTGTATTTTTTTTCGCGGTAACCCATCTTTCACCATTTATACACTCCCATGTGTTATTTTATAAAAAAAAAAAACACCAAAAAATATTAATAAACAAGTGACTGTATGAATTCTAATTTCAACATTTATTCCACAGTTAGACACGTTGTCACCCAGTCAGTAAGCAAAATGCTTTCACCCAAATAAACCTATCGATCTTTATCAAACACTCCTTAGATTAATTTTTTTATGCAGCTACCCCATTACCTGACCTCTGACCTCTAGAAGGTATTATAAATCTTTAATTCTCTGACATGCACGCCATAATTATACTTAAATCTATAATGCACCTTAGAAAGAATTAGGTCCAGGATTCTATTTAGGTGTTATTCTGGGAGCAAACCTCAGACAACCAAAGACCAAACAAAGGCATTCCTTCATCTTTATAAATATCAAGACAGTTGAATCAAACCAGCCAAGCATAGTTAACTTTTACTAAGTACTTTCCAGCCATATCTGTATTGTATTATAATTCTGTGAATGTAAAATGTTATTAAGATTGCCGGGAGACACTAGACACCAAGTCTGAGAATCCCAATTATTACGAAAAGGGGTGTAACTTCCGGGGAATTTAATTACACTAATAAACAAGATCAAGTTCAGTGATAGATTCCAGATTTATTAGTAATTTGCATATTCTGTCTTGTGTAATCTAACCATCTGACGTTAGTGTATTTATAGTCTTAGGTTTTACTGAATAAAGCAGTTATCGTATGGTCGTAGTCTTGTCTATGACACCTTATCACTGCCTCTTTGTATAGTTATTTCCAAGCTACTGAGTCTCTTCTGCCCTACTCCCACAAAGATGTTATTTGAGAAAACGTTCCAATGTTATTCAATAGAAAACACATTGCGAAATTTATATTTATAAAGGTGAAGGGAATACCTTTGTTGTGCCGAGAGTGTCACGTATCGTCCAATTATACTATTGAAATTGTAAACAAAAACGCCCATGTCCTAACACAGTAGCGGGGCAAGGGGGTATATGGCTGGTACAGGTTACAGGAACTAAAACGACATTTTTCACGTTTTTACACAGATAAAACAAATTCCTAATTACATATTTATAATATGTTTGATAATTGTGTTAAGAATCAAAATTGAAAATTGCGTACGAAGTACGACATTTAATGTGGAAATGCTTTATACGCTTACAAAAAATAAGATCTTGGTACAAATTACGGACGAATAAAATAGCTGATGACATTTTTTCATTATTCATTTTTTTAAATTACATTATTCCGAAAATAAAAACAATGATTACAACTTACGAAAATACCGCTTGCCGACCCTCAGTAGCTCCATATTTTGACTAAACTAGTCTGTGACGTAGCGCATACATTAGCAAATGATATATAATTTGGATTTTTTCAAAGGGCTGAGAAGTACTGTATACTATCAATCACGACCACGGTTGACCGTGATCTGAAATTCCGCTATATAAATCTGCCATCTTGAATACCATCGACAGGAAATATAAGTGTACCAAGTAAACAACTGACAGCACAACATATTTCATTTAAAGAAACACTCAATCAAATATCAATAATAATGTTAAAAAGAATATATTTCCCATTACAGTCGACAAATATATATATTTCTGGTTTACGTACACTTTGAAATTCTCATGTTTACTTAATTTTGTTTTTCCCGCGAAATTATTTAAAAACAAAACTTGAAACTGTAATAGAAATAAATCTATTTGACATATGAGAAACGTATTTTTATCGAGGTTGCCCAAGTACTAGTATTTTCAGATTGTCGAGATTCCGTAACAGAATATACGATTTACAACGTAACCTGTCACGGGGTTTCTCAAAGTAACTTGATCCAGGAACGACTACATTGTTTTAAAGAGGAAATATTGAACCTATCCCGACAGACTCGACAACCATTTCTATGGGCCTATATAAAACCGAAAGCCCAAATTCTTTGAAATGCATCGGCAAAAACCATATAATCAAACAAAATTGTGTGATAGTTGATCGTTATTTATCATACGATACAGTATACTAAATCCTAAAATGATTTTACCAACTCTCAGTCTGAAGTTATTTGACCAATATTGTCGCCAATATTATTAATCAGAAATTCGGGTCAATGAATTGGCTAATGAAAACAATTATTAGGAACAAACATGTATTGTGGGTGTTAGTAGAGTGACAACTACACTTGACAAATTTCCAATTAAAATTAAAGCTGAAATTGCTCAAATTAAATATTGGTATAGAATAAGTACTGTGCCGAATAATACTGTGAAGTGTGCACTTGAAGAAGCATTATCCTCAAACCCAAACTGGATAAAACAAAATCTTGGGTCATTCTGACATAAACAAAGTAAGCAATTGTCATAACACAAATAGCGTTACCAAACTCTCAAAAGTAGTAAAAACAAACATTCATTCATGGAAATAACGGCTTA